AGAACTAGATTGAAGAAAAAAACGACAGCAACTTGTCTGTTCCCCTTTCCCCAATTCCCCAGCACTGTTCCCATCCCCCCAATTCCCCAATAAAAATCTAAAAAAAAACCAAAAAACAAAACAAAAAAAAACTTAAAGCAGTGCAAATGCCCATCAACAGAAAAATAATGTTAACCTGTAATGCATTACAATACAGAAATGAAAATGAACAAACTACAGATACAAACAACACCATGGGATAAATATCACATATATAACACTGCCACTTCCATTGTAATCCCTCATTTCCCTCCTGCTTACAAAACCATATACCTGTGGAGTCACAAAGGGGGGCAGATTTGAGAGCACAAGAAAGAATTCAGGGAAAAGGAAAAGCAGAAGCAGCTCCTGGAACTCAACCTGATAGCTGACATCACCAGCTGTTTGAGTTTGTTAAGGGAAAAACATACTTATGCATTACAACTTGAATTAATTACCTACATGAAGGCTGAGGTGGGTCAAAGCAAATGAACACTGAATTAGCTCTTATTTTAAAGTATTTCCTGTAGAGCAGATTCATTCAGAAAAGCAGTTTCTATAAGCCTCTGATAGGTTTAATACCATGCTTCATGAAGCAGACACTAGAGTGAGATTCAGATTATCTGGATCCTGAAGTTAGTTCTGACCCAGTAGCTCTGTGACCTTGGGTAAGGCACTTCACCCCTCTGGGAAATTCTAATCTGGGAAAGAACTCTTTCTAGAAGGGATAGAATTCACTATGCCAATCCAATTATTTTAACAAGACCAGTAACTGTGAATCTGACCCCAAGAAGAATATACCTGCCAAAAAGGACCCCTCGTGGTTAATTGAGCTCAAATTTATAACCAGAGTCTAGCAGCCATTGTTTACAGAGGCCTCTCATGCGCACTGCATTTTAGTGAAAAGCTGCAGACGAGGCTGCCAAGATTCCTGCACTGTGCTTTTGACCCTTATAAAAAAGCTCTTAGGATTGAAATTTGACCAATGGGAGTAAGACATTCCCTGTTCGATTGGAGCTGCACAGGTATAGCCTCATGTGCATATTTACTAACCAATCAGAGCAGCTCCATACCAACTAATCAGAACAATGCTTTTTGGACCAATCAAACTGTGAGGATTTGGAGACTTCATTTGCATAGAAATGAACAAATCAGGGGCCAGGGGTGGAAACTTCTCTATATAAGTCAGCCTCCCCCTAAGTCAACCTCCCCTCTCTCTCAGTGGAGCCCACTTTCAGTTTCCATTGAAGACTGTTTCTGTGCTGGGAGCTGTAACCCCAAAGCTGAAGCTACAACACCAGAGTGGAGCTGCCTCACCAGAGCTGTAACATGGGGGCCCCCTCATCGGGGGCTGCTTTGCCTGAGCTGTTACACATCCCTGCTGTTCCATAGCCATACTGTATTGTAATTGAGCTGTGTCACTACTGAGCTGTCTGTCTTGCTGTTACACAGCGGAACTGTTAGACAATTGAGTTCCTTGCCCTGAGTGAAGTCTCTCTCCCCTAACTGCACCCCTAATTGGGTACTCCTACTGGCATGGGATTGGCAGTGATGACTTTAGGTTGACACTTTATTAAAACAATACTCAATGGTGCATGACAAAATACCTGGTCAAACATGTCCACTAAAAGTCCTATGGTACCTGCCTAACTTCAGCTCTCAAGAGCTGATGTTATTTACACTCACTCTGTGTAGGAAAACTTTGAAGGAAGACTTAGTTACATTATGAACAGGTTTCAGGATTTCGGAAGAATTCTGAGGCAACAGCAGAAGCTATAAAGGGCAGACCTGGCCTTGTCACAACCCTCAGATGAACACTAGGCAAAATGGAAAGGACTGGATTGATGACCTGGCAGAAGGGAGTGCAGGGAGTACTTCTTATGTTGAATAGAAGTGGCCAAGGTTGGCATCCTTGTCTTGTTCTTGATCTTAGAGGAACTGTTTTTAGTCTTTCATTATTGAGTATGATGTTAGCTGTGACATTGAATTTTAAAATCTCTTATTATTCGCTTATCCTGAGGCTAGGAAGGAAAACCAAGAAACTCTCTCCACCGGATTTCACCTGCGGTATGTATAAGTTGGGCAAATTCTATTTTTTCAAGGTTACCAAACTGTCTCAGAATTCTTGGCCTGCCAGTAAGTGACCTTCCTTTCTCCCCTATATGATTGGACATCCTGTAAGCCAACAGGGCCTTGCTAGTTTTCTTCAGTGGGCTCCATGCAGTCAACCTTAATTCTCTAACTGTAGCTTGTCATACCTGATTAAATGAACATCATTCTCAAATATAACATTCAGGCAAGACCTAAGTTGTATAACCAAAGTTTCCAAATATAACCTGGTAAAAAGGAGAACATATTCTTATTTAACCTGTACAAATCATAATATTGCCATGAAAAGTAAGAAGACCCAATTAGAGTTTGTAAATTCTATAGAGTTGGAAATCAGTGAGAAAAAGTCATTTACAAATGTTTTATTTCAGTTTACAAATGCAGCACCTAGTAAATTGTTATGGCTTATAGATAGTGTAAGAAAGACATAGGGCCACATTATATATCTAGAACATAAGAGATTAAAACAGTATCAATGTTACTAAATAGAAAGAGTTCGACCATCCAGCTCTAACAGAGCCAAACACTAATCACTGAGAATTGCAATGGAGAAAGACTTGCTATTTTATTATGAATGGCGCTACCTAAGAGAATGCTCAAAAGCCTGAACTCCCCGGTGGCATGTAGGTCAGGTTACATAGGGCAAAATCATAAGACACTGTGGGCTAGGGAGTTCGGGTCGTGCTGGGAGCTGATTGGTTGGAGGTGAGGTAAGGGTAATAAATCATTTCTTCAGGTCTTGAGGACAGCTCTGAGGTGCATTCCAGCGTTCCTCTGTCTGGTTTCGTGGGATAGTTGTAGCCAGGGGGTTGTTCCACCTTAGGGCTAAGGAGCTGAAACATAATTTAGGTCAAGATGTTATGTTGAGCCTGCCAGAGGTCTGGACCTTGTGATCATTAGTCCGATCTGGGCTACTGTCTTCTGCTGCCTCGGGGGCTGCTGATTATCTGAAGGAAAGGCTAGGTCTCTGACAGGTATATATTTAGAGAGCTACAATTTCTAGAGTTAGAATTTAAAGCTAAATTTAATCAAAGTCATAATATTCCAAGCAACATTCCAAACAGAAAAAATCATCCCTCATCAGGTCATTCAGTCCTACTAATTAACTCTTGTTCTGCTGAATCTTGGGTTACTGGTCTCATGAACCCATCTGCTTTTCAACTAAAAAGCATTCTGGAAATCATGACTCAGTCCATTGGTATGATAAGTTG